ACTATGAGTAACAGTAGTAGTATGATGATGATGAGTGACAATGAGCTAGATAAAGCCTATCATAATCTGGGTATGGCAGCAGAGACTCTTTCAGTAGCAATAGGTCTTGAAGAGAAGGATAAAAAGTTAGGTAATACTCATGAATAGTAATAATGATAGTCATGATGATGATTGTAGTAATGGGTGGTATCGATGTTGATGATGCTAGTCTTAGTAGTAGTAGAGGGTTAATAGGGAAATACCCTATAGGTTGGGAGGCTAGGATCATACATATGGAGGTAATACTCATTATGCTACTACATATAGGGTACAATGTATCTGATGATGCTGATGCTATTGATGCTTAGGAAAAGGATAGGGTACATAAAGAGAAGATGAGAGCTGAACAAAAGGAAAGGGAAAAGAGGATATTGGTAATAATAACAATCATGATGATGGTCATGATGATATAGGCACGATATGAACTAGAGAAGGAGAAGAAAGCAGAATGGAAGAAGACTATGTTGAAGTCAGTTGAAGCTAAGGAGATAGCATCTAGACAAGTACACTTTAAGTAATACTACAATGTAGATGAAATAGGAGTAGGAGTAGGAGGAGGGGATATCATGCTATGTAGATGGAGACAACATCATGTTGCTGCTTCCAATCCTACTACTACTACTACTACTAAAGTAGTAGGAAGAGGAGGAGGAGGTCGAGGAGGAGAACAACACCAGATTGTTGAGTCTGGGAAGAAGGGGAGGTAGTAATACTGATACATGATACGTAGTGTCACAATCATCATCATTATTGAATATTATGGCAGAGTTATGGTAATATTGGATAAAAGGAGGAGGAGTCGATGGGATGATGATGATGATGACCATGACACAATACATACAATAGATGATAATGAGCATCATAATGAGCTTACTCCAGAGAACATACTCGATGCTTTGTAATACTACTACTACCACTACTATCCCATTATTATTATCCCATTATTATTATTTTTCTAGGTTCGAATACGTATCAATGTTTGAAGGTGTACAGTGCGTAACAGAATTGAGTAATGCAGTAGTAGTAGCTACATTTCATACCCCACAACAAGCTCAACAGTGTATACTAGTATCACAAGATAATGCTGATATACAAGTTACTAGAGCAGCTACTGCAGCTGTTACACAAGGTCCCAATGTTAGGAAGGTAATGGTAATAGTA